GGGGCCGCCAGGCATCTGCCCAGTGTCCTGCGAGCGGGGCGGGGGCCCGGCCCGGCCGGGGCAGAGCCGCCTGCCCCGCCGCCGCCCGTCCTTGTGTTGCAGATGAGTCGTTACGGGCTAACTGCGCGCTATCGCTCTGAGAGGCGGTGAGCCATGGGGGAGAACAGTCCTGAAGGCAACGTTATCTACTATGAAGCGGAGGAAGACGATTTAACTCAAGATGACAATATGATGAGGTTTTCTGATAAAAACGGGTTGGTTTCTTCATCATCTGGGACGGTCTATGACAGGACAACTGTTCTAATAGAGCAGGACCACAGTGTGTTGGAAGATGATGAGGATGAAGGACAGTGTGGTGATCACTTGCCTTTTTTACCAGAGGGTCATGAAGAAGGATTTCATTTAATAGCAGACCATGAAGGAATGTCCCAGGGTTATGTGCAACATATTATTTCTCCAGATCAGATTCACCTAACAATAAATCCTGGTTCAACTCCTATGCCAAGAAATATTGAAGGAGCTACGCTCACTTTGCAGTCTGAATGCCCAGAAACTAAGCTTAAAGAAGTAAGTAGATAAATACGATTCTGAAGTTTATGCTTATTGTGAGAGTTTTTCACCTGGTGGCATTAGATGCTTTGAAAACATGGTTTTCCAAAGCTGTTTGGGAGGTAGGTAGAAGTTCTCCTTGTTCTTAAAGGTTATCGTATAGTAGAGTGAATTACAGTCTGTTAAATCCGCTGTTACTTTTAGCGATAGTAATGCTTTGTGCTGGTAACAGGCGGTTTCCCACAGTCACTTAGTGGGTCAGCAACAAAGCTGCAAGTGTCATCAGTTTTCACTTTCTTGTGAAGCAGCCAGGAATTGCTTTTTGACATGCGGTAATACACTAGATAGCAGGAGAATATGGTAGTGAAAATGCATTTATATTAGTAGCATATGTGATTTTAGTGGTCTTTTATTTTTCTTTTGGTTGGGCAATTATTTGCTGAGTTCAGAGATAACTAAAAAACACAAACTCTGTTATGCTGTGGTTAACCACATTCTTGAGAAAAGTGCATCCAAGTTTCAAGTTAAATTCCAAACTGTTGGCAGTAGCTGAAGTATGAAACTTAAGATGCCAAACTTAAAATTACTTGTAGTTTTATTATGTCACTTACAGGGAAACTGTGAGAAGAAAACAAAGGAAGCCTTAATCTACCATCTTGTCAGCTTACATATTTAAAATGACGATGACTTTTAATTCTGTTTCCCTAATGAATTCTACCTGCCTGAAAGAACCATGAGGGCTTGTACTGACTGACTTAGGATTCTTGCTTTTTAGGTGTAAAAGCAATGCAAAGTTGACTGAAATACCAACATAGGGCCAACTTTGTGCTCTTTTTTTGTCCCTTCTGAGTTAACTAAGGGATGATCTATGTAAGTGTTTGTGCTGGTATCAGTGGTAGTAGTACCAACTACTTGTGTAACTGATATTCAGTGTAAGAGAGAATTGCAGAAATGAGCCCTTGCTGAGAAAGGAAGCTGGGTTTGAATGCTCTGAATAATTTAGATTAGCAGGGAACCTTCATTATCGCTCGCTTGGCAGTGAGGAAATGGGGCTGTAGGAGGTCAGCTCTGCAATTGTGAAACTTCTGGACTGAGGTTTGTTCAATAAGCCCATTTAAGTCTAAGGAACTCCTTTTGCTCAATTGTTATTCGCATAAGCAGCTGCTCTATCCCACCTTCTTAGCTGCTAAACTATTTAATTTTTGTGTGTCAGTCATCAGTATGTTTTGTAGGATAAGCATGCAGTCTGTAGTGTCTGAGAACAGTGTGTACTAGCAAAAAAGGTGTTGATGACTGCACGAGCAATTAAACTGATTTTATTTCTTCACCACTCCTTTTTAAAAAAGGCTTGTAAGACCTGGAGTTTCCCAGTGAAATCCTTTATCTGAATTTATTTTCCATTTCTCGAATTAATTTTCGTGTGTGTGTGTTATGCTATAATTTGAGTGCGGTGGGAAAAAAAGCTCTAAGCATATGTGACACTCTCCCATCTTGTAAATAGCCCTTTTTGTCCTGCTGTTTCAAATGCTTGATCGGTTGTCTGGAGATGGGGAGGGAAAAGGTCTAAACCCCCTGAATGTTTGGCTCATCTCTAAAAGTCATCAGTCCAAATCTTTGGTACTTCCAAAACATCTGTAGCAGTTCTCACACTTGAGAACTGTTTTAAAGTCTTAAATTTTCATGTCAGTCTTAGACGTTTATGAAGCAAGAGGGTTTTACACTTCATTAACTACCTTTGACTTCCTTTTGTTATATTATACTTCTTTCACTATAATTCTGCTTGTAAGAATAAATGTGGTTATAGTCTTCTATTTCAAATCCATTAATTTTTTTTTTTTTTTCAATGATGACATAGAAAAAAATATCTAAGGGAAATCTCAAACTCAAGATAATTTAAAGGCAAACTGAGAAATTTAAGTAGACTTTGGCACAGTGTGTCACGCTCAGCTTTTGCCAGTCATGTTGGTTATTGGACAGTTAGTTCCTACTTCTAAAGTAAATGCTTAATTAAGACACTTCGAGCTTCCCTCTGGTGCGTCTCCTTGGGAGAGACAGCGCATTGCCCTTTGCCAAAGCATGTGCCATGCAGTTGCAGCCATTGCCTTCATGGCAACTTGTCTTCCTGTCCAAGCCGTCTGTGGCTTTTCCTGTTGCTGCCATGGTTCTTTTTTGTTGTTGCTTGTGTATGGTGATGGTCTTGACTACTTGCTGTTGTAACTGCAAGTCTTTCATGATCAATATCTACATAATTTTATGTGTATAATCAGGGCTTACTTGATATGCTAATGTTCCTAATGTGAAAAGAGAATTAAATGCTTTGCTGCTTTACAGAAAGTTTTGTTTTGCTTAGAACATGTGGTAGTATTGCTTCTGCCTGCAGTATCTTTCTCGGAATAACTTGTGAAATAAAGATTTGGCCTTTGAGCAAAAGGGGAGCACTGCAAGGCCTTTGTTGTAGTTCAGGCTGTTAAACTGAAAGTGTTGCTGCCGTCTTCCTTTAGACATGTGCATTGGCAGCTAGGAACCAAATCCTTAATCTATAATTAATATTCTTTTCTTTCACTTTCTAGACCTAAATGTAAATACCTAGAAAGCTTATCAGACTCCTCACTTGACTTTTAGGTAGTTTACACCTGTGTCAAATTGTTTGTGTGTTGGGGGAAGTACTGTGGAGAATGCCCTGTAATGCAGTATGTGGAATGTTAGTTTCCAGCTGCCTTAAAACTCTAACAGGGAACATTTACTTCAGTACTGATGCATAAATTGTACTGAATCTGATGATCCCTGGTGAAGATAATGTACCCCTTCTCGTCTAATAAAACATACCTTCCGACCTTCTGTCTGTGTTTTGTCAGGCTATGCTCTTCTGTTTTGGCTGACTCAACACAACCAAATTTCTTAATTATGTTGTAACTGTACTGTAATGCTTGGTAACTTTTTATTTATTTATTTATTGTTAACTTTTACCTGATTTGAACTATAAATTAAGGGCAGTGATTAAGAACAGGTTGCCCAGAGAGGTTGTTGAGGCCCCATCCCTGGAGGTGTTCAAGGGCAGGCTGGACGTGGCCTTGGGCAACCTGGTCTGGTGGGAGGTGTCCCTGCCCAGGGCAGGGGGGTTGGAACTCGATGATCTTCAAGGTCCTTTCCAACCTAAACCATTCTGTGATTCTCTGGGCAACCTGTTCCACCAGCCTTACCACCCTTAAAGTGAAAAATTTCTTCCTAGTATTTAATCTAAATCTCCCCTCTTC